AGGCATGGACGAGCTAATCGTGCTCAGGAAATAGGAGAATAAAAGTGTTAAAAAACACCTTCACGATGGCGTTCAATCAAAACAAAGCAACTGTACGAAATACTAATTTCCCGACCCCTTCCATTGCCCTTTGACACCTCCAAATTACCCAAAATAGGTAATTTCACCCCCTATGAGAACCACTGGATTCTAGAGTTGTACCATTGATCGATTTCTGAGAAATTTACAGTATCTTAGTCGGACTGTGGCCAGTTCTTTTATGGCTAAATCGATTGATCTTGCATTCATAGGAGTTTCTCCGTGGTCAGTGTAGAAGTTGGGTGATGTTTAACTTATAACTTGTGCTCGTTTTATGCATAAATGCTGGATACATTCTGTTCGCTGATTGAAGGATGATTACATGAAAGGTGTGCAAGCGTACTATGCGGAAGACTGGGAGGCATGTGTGCACAGCCTTGAGGTTTCGATGGAGGAGTTTTTCATCGAAGAAGAGAAATGTCGTCGAATATGTGAGGACAAACTCGACTGGGAGACCATCGAAGGCATCAATCCTGAGATCGCAATTGTTCTTACAAGTTCGTTCGTTTATTGCCGTTGTGCAACGATCAGCAATGCACGATCCATATGTTTTGCATTGCAGGTGTGTACGTCTCGGTGCTACGATGTAAAAACGCTTGTGCGGTGAAATTATCGAAGGTGAACGGTCACCAGATCGGCGCTATTCTGCCATCCTACTTCGAATACCTTCATATTTGTCAATATAAATGTAACATTTATTTGCAGTTTAAAATTATTCACTTGAAAATTCCACATGATTTGAAAGTGAAACGTTCGTTGTATGTGACAAAACTCAAATTTCATATATATAGTGAACCGAGGGCGCGACACATGTCAATCGGTTGCAAACAGCATTCTGCTGAATCCATCGAATTCGATTATGCGACGGAATCGTTTGTTCTATTCGAAGAAGTACGATAAAGAGGATCTGTTCCAACCATCTGAAGTAAATCTATCAATTAGATCCGTTCAAAAAAATGGAAGTTCATTCGACAACTCATAAACGAAGTCTTGTGGCGCAATTTTCGCCACAAAATTCTAGAAACCTTTGAAACCGTATGAAAACATGAATGAATGCTGTTTCATTTGACTTTACGGGCGATTTTCACATCTAAGAGTGATTCAAAACTCAGATCGGTTTCGTTTATAAAAGTATGAAAGTATTTTTTTGCTTAGTTACCAAAATGTCTACGATAATGAATCTATTTAGCA